GGTAGCTTAAATTAAACTCCTTAACAGAACCCCCAGTTTAGCTCCCGAGAAACTCCAAAACCAGGAAGACCTAAACCCTAAACCCTAAACCCTAACCCTAAACCCTAAACCTTAAACCCCCCTCCCCAAGAAGACCCCTCGAGCCCCCCCCTTTTAAAGGGGAAGCCTAGAGAGCCCAGGAGCCTCCCAAGCCCCAGAATTCTGGCAGGGGCGTCCAAAGCCAAGCTCCAAGATCCTTAGCCTTTAGGTTTAGGGTTAAGGATTTTTAGGGTTACGGGTTTAGGGTGAAGGGTTTAGGGTGTTTAGGGTGAAGGGTTAAGGGTTGTTGAGGTTTAGGGTTAAGGGTTGTTGAGGGTTTAGGGTTCAGGGTTGTTGAGGGTTTAGGCAACCTTAACCCTGTGCTGTTGAACCTCTGACAGGATTCAATAAAATGAAGGCTTGACGGGTGTCGTAGAGGCGTTGCCTGGTGCAGGAAGTACGAGGGTGTTGGGGACAGGTGTTGACTGGTCAGCGCCCTAACCCGAAAGCCTGAACCCTGAACCATGATCTTCCCTTGCTCGAGTGGCCTTTCTGCCGTAAGGGATAGCGGCTGAGGACAAGCCCTGCATGCACTTGAATTTGCGAGTGCGTCTTGAACACGACGTCCAAAAAAAAAAGCCCTGATCTTAAGCCCGAATAAGCTAAACCCCAACCTCTGAGCCCTGAACCCCTACACCCCGAGCTGTGAACTGAACCCTCATGCCTGCCTGCACCCCAGAAGTATATAGAACACTAGCCTTTTTTTTAGGTGTTGGGCCATTACTTTACCCTAAACCCTAAACCCTAAACCCCTAAACCCTAAACCCCTAAACCCCTAAACCCTAAACCGTCGAGGGTTTAGGTGAACTGGCAAGCTTAGAAGCAGCAGGAGTCGGAGCTGCAAAGCTTCCAGCAGCGGAGGAGAGATGGAGCTCGGGTCCAGGGCTTTTGAGGTTGTGGTGCAGGGTTTAGGGTTTGTTTAGGGCTTAGGGCTTAGGGTCTTGGACTTTTGAGGTGTAGGGTTTAGGGTTTAGGGTTCAGGCGGCCTGTGAGTTGCACGGTTTAGGGCGCCCCTTTCATTCCAATTGGATGTCCTACAATCAGAGTTTCGAAGCCTCCAAGTCGCGTAGCTCTGAATTACGTAGTTTTTTGGAGTTGCTCCGAGGGTCCGGAGAGTGTGTGAACCCCGCAATTACCCTCGGAGTGATCATGTTGCACCCCCAAACCTTGAACTCAATCACGCATATAATTATGGTTAGGTAGGTATATAGGTATGTAGACAGATATTTCTTGAGATGCCGCTAAAATTACATCTTGATATTCAATTGAAGAGATCAGAGAGAGATAGAGCTAACTAGGCAGATAGATAGATAGGTAGGGAGGCAGCAAGGTAGGTAGATAGGTAGATAGGTAGCTAGATTGTAGATGGACAGATAGATAGATGCAGATGCAGATGCAGATGCAGATGCAAATGCAGATACAGACACAGATACAGATACACATGCAGATACACATAGATAGGTAGCGCTGCACATATGCATATATGTATATGTGTCTATACACATGTACTTGCCTTCTCTGTCTAGGATTGTGGAAGTCAGGATGCATCCGAAACCCCACTCATGTTCTCGAATCTGGGAGCTGCCTGGGCTTGATCACGCTCTGTCTTTAGTTTCCCCAGGTCTGAAATTAGGGGTACGTTTTCCTCAACCCACAGCTAGGCCCGTATTGAACTTTCCCTAAACCCTAAACCTTAAACCCTTAAAAAAAAACTTAAACCCTAAAACTTCCCTAAACCCCTAATTAACACAAAACCGCAACCCACAGCAAGCGGAGCCTTGCCGGAGCTCCTGGTTTCGAGACTCTCAGCTCTGTGAGGACCTCGTGCAAAGCTCAAGGAGGCGACAGCTTGGAGGGTTTAGGGTTTAGGGTTTAGGGCAGCTTGCTAGTTGAGCGTGTGCTTGTGCGGCTTTCGATGGGCCGTATAGCCCTACGCCAGAAGCCCTAGACCCCTAAAGCCCTATAAACCCGAAACAGAAGCCGCCTGTAGGGATTTTTAGTGGGGCTTGGTGTTTGATTTAGGGTTCGCCCGGAGCTCCACACAAAAACCGCCGTGCTTCTAAACTCTCTATACGTCAAGCTCACCAAGCCCAGGGTCTTGAACCCTACGCCGCTGGAAAACCCCCTCAAAAGTCGGCCCAACACCTATATATAATAATAGGGTTTAGGGCAGTTTAGGGTTTAGGGCAGTTTATAGAATAAAGGCTCTTACTCTGCATACTGTTGCTGTCCATGTACAGCCTAGGACTAGCAGCTTTGAGATGCATTGTCTTCCACCCTGCAAGCCCTCGTGTCCTTGAGCCCGCGCAGTAGGACGTGGCATTTCTTGTTCTGTGGGAGCTCGGAGGGCGCAGATGCAACAAGGCCACTAGTAATTATACATGAATGCCGGGAATCTAGATCAATTACTTGGAGAGTAAATCTTGGTGATTTTGCAATCTTGCAAATTTGGTCCGTCTTGGTGGGAAAACCAAGATGGCCAGCAATCTTGGTCATCTTGCCCCAGTTGCCCCCACTTGATCCACCCGGTCCACCTGCTCGCCGACTAGTTTACCAAGTGAGACCAAGATTTGTGAGACCAAGATTGCAAGATTGTTGGCTATCTTGCAAAAATATTTGTTCTAGGTCCCCGGCACACTGTAATTATAGTAGTTCTTAGAAGACATATAGTACTCATAGTACTTGTAATTGAACTTAGAATTCGAAAAGCCACAGAGATGAACCTTGGACCCTGATTCAGGAGTTAGGGTTTAGGGCTTAGGATTCGGAGAACTAGCTGTTGTCTCCACGGGCGTTGTCGTTATAGAAGGAGTTCCCTCCTTCATTTTCAGGACCCTAGCACGGCTGCCTCGGGTAAGTGCTTGCAGGTCTGGCCGACCGCAGTTTGGCTCCTTCGCCATGACAAGGTCCCTCCATTTGGGGGCTCTTTGTTTGACTTTGCCATGGCTGAGTCAAGCCCGTTGGCTCAGTATGCCTCAAGACTGAGCCAGAGCCCACGGACAGCGAGGGCAGGCAGCGAGTGTACTGCAACCTTCCCGATGTGCCTCGATAACTTCGGAGCATTGGGTTTAGGGTTTAGGGTTTAGGGGCTCAGACTGTTGAGAACCTGTGATGCCAAACTCTAGAAGCAATCAGTTTCCCCTTCTAGGCCTGTAGGTAAACATCCCTTCAACATCCTATACCCCACAGATCCTTAACCCGAAACCCTAAACCCCTGCTTGTTTAGCGCTGTCGCTTTTCAAGGTATGCAGTGCCGCTTGAGATCTTTCTGCAGATCGTGGTGATCAAACCTTTTGAGGAGATGACGATGTCTGAGCCAAGGGTTTAGGTTGGGCTGCAGTTAAGGAACCCGAAATGCAGGGAGGCATTGTGTACAGTCGGTTCCTTAAAACCGTACAAAGCCGAAAGCATGTGTCGACCACAAATTCTCATCCCTTGTGGACCGTAGACCACTGCAAAGACCCTGTTAACAGCCAATAGGACACAGTATTACTGAGACCCTCCTTCTTCTACTACCCTCAGTTAGACCCAGAGACTTACTATTGGGGCCCACACAGCCCTAAAATCTCAACCCTCTTTGAGGATACAAGAGGGTCCTGGCAAATTTCCTCAGGACCCCGCAGACTTGCCAAACTCTTGGAGCTACTCATAATCCGCACTCCCCAAGGGCTGCGCGTTCAGGCTTAAGAATGTAGGTGCCTAGGGTTTAGGGATTTAGGGTTCAGAGGTTGAGGGCTTAGGGTTTAAGGGTTTGGGGTTTAGGGGTTTAGGGCTTTGGGGTTTAAGGGTTCAGGGTTTAGGGGTATAGGGCTTAGGGGCTTTTAGGGCTTAGGGTTTAAGGGTTTAGGCCTCGCAGGCTCGCCACAAGGAGGCCGATCCAGCTCGAGACGGCGACCTCTGATCCCTCAACCCTAGGTCCCGACTATAGAACCCATAGCAAGAAGCGGCTTGAATAATCCCGGTTCGACATTAAGCGTCACAAGCCCTTGCAGAGAGGTGTAAATAATCAAACGGTCCTATAGCTTTGGAGTCCCTAAACCCTACACCCTAGACCCGAATCATCTTACAGTGTACCCGGCCAAGCCCTCTAAGTCGGCTTTAAACCCTATAAAGCCATCCGGCAGCCTTATACTGATACTTAAACCAACCCTACTCTGTCTACGAAGGTCTCTCTGGCAGAAAAGCCTTTCAACGAAGGACCAACAAATCTTGCTCCCCAAAACTGGGGCCTGTAATAGAAGCCCCCTCCCCTCTTCAGGTAACCCCAAGTTGTAATAAGAACCCCCCCTAAACCCTAATCCCCTAAACCCTAAACCCTAAACCCTAAACCCAACAGCCCTGAGAGGAGATGATGGAAGCGGGTATGCTGACCGAATTTCTGGAGACTCTCGGACGAGCTCTCTTCGTCTCTCATGAGTGGCTTGGAAATCACCACCCAGACCTCCGGCATTCTTCAGAAAGTGTTTAGGGTTTAGGGTCTAGGGTTTAGGGTTTAGGGTTTTTTTCGAGTCCAGGCGCTTTGGGTTCAGACTGGGCCCTACGGCAGCTGACCCTGCCAAAGCTGCCGATACAAAACCGTGGCCCTGATAAAGGGGCCTTAATAATTACCTATTTTTTTTTTTTTTGGGGGGGGGTCCTTGTTATAATTACAGGTATAATATACCCCAAAACCCTATTCACATTATCAAGGCCCCGACATTGAGCCCTAAACCCTAAAGCGGAAAAGGTATAACCAGGGCCAAGGCGACTTCAGGTTGTCCCCTAAGTATCAGTCCAGGATGCCTTTGTGTACGTATGCATCTGTCCACGCATGAAACTAAACCCTAAACCCCCAAACCTGAACCCTAAATCCCTAAACCCTAAACCTGAACCGTACCCAGGCCACCCCGGGACACGTGATAGAAGCTTTGTAGACTTGGATGCGTTGCTAGGGGATGTCGTCTACGAGCGAATCTGGCAGGCAGGCTGCAGTCCATCCTCGCATAGTTTACCCTTCCCTTGCGTCAGGTTCGCGAGTGGCCATCGACATCTGCGGATTCCTACGGGCACGCGATGGCTTTGCTGATGGAGTACCGCCTCAGGCTGGGTGCAATCGCGCCTTGCCGAACATCTTTCAATTACGATCCCGAGGCAGCTCGAGTGGTTCGCGGACATGTCGGGGGTGAGCAAGCGAGGGCCTTACCGCAGGGATTTGTTTGGGGCTTTCGTAACCGTGTCTTGCCAGGTACCTCCTCACAAAGCTGGGGACGGAACACCTCCTCGGCGAACGCATGCGCAAGCCGGCCATCCGAAGTCGGAGCCTCAGACCGGTTGGAGTGAGCGTGCGAGTCCGCAACCCAAACAAGCATCGCCCGTTCAGGACGCCGCGCATGACGGGAAGGCTGGGCCATCTTCCTCGCAAAAGCTTTGTCCTGCTGCGAAGGGTCTGGCTGCAAGCAAATTCTTCTTATATTTTGCACTATTCTTTTTCATGGACTCGTGTTTTTGTTTTTGTAAGAATCTCATATTACAATGACGGTAGATTGAGCGATAAAGCATGTCGTTGATCTTTTTTTTCATGAAGCTATTTTTCCATAGATTCGCATATATGTTTTTGTACCAGATCCATATTGCAATCACGGTAGATTGATTGATAAAGAACATAGTCGATGTTTTTGTTTAACGATCCTTCTTTTTTCCATAGATTGGCTTATATGTTTTT